CGCGCGGCAGGCCGGACGTGATGGATGAGCTGAGAGCTCTGCAGAGGGCATGGAGCGCAGGTCCTAACTAAGCAGCGAGGACGGCGGAAGCCCGGTGCCCTGCCCTGTCCGTCCGTCAGACAGCCACCAGCCACAGGCCATGCAAAGTCACAAAATGCAACGAAATAAAAACATCAGTTCCCCAGTCGCATTAGCCACATGGCCAGTGGCACCAGGGTGGGCAGTGTGCACACAGGCCACTGCCATCGCTGCTGAGAATCCTATTTGAAGGCAGATGACCCCATTACTATTCTTATATTGAATACATGTTGGAATCACATTTAAAATACATTCAGTTAAATAAGACATAATACCAATGTTAACTTCACTGGTTTCTTTTTACCTTTTTTTTCTTCTTATTATGGGCAATAGGAACTTATAAATTATCCATGTGGCTCCTATTTCCACAGGACAGTGCGATTACAGAAGGGCACAGGAACACACCTTCACTCACTCATTGTTCTTAATGCTACATCCATTCGATGCTATTCCGCTTGACCATGGTCGTAAAAACCCTTCCTTAACACAAAGCTTACGGGGCAGCCCGAGGTAATAGCACAAATGCAAGCTTTGGAGCCAGAAAATTCCAGATCCAAATCTCAGCTCCACCCCCTACTCGCTGCATGGTCTTGGCCAGAGAACTTCCCTTTGGGCCTCAGTTTTCTCATCTGAACAATGGGATCAGTGAATGAGCTACAACTGTGCACACCCCGGGAGACGGTGATGGAGAGGGACGCTCGTGGGCCCGGCCCTGGTGCGCCTCTGTCAGAGGTCATTGTCACTGCTGTTATTACTGTCTAGTGTTTTTAGCATGAAAGTAGAAGGTCAGTGTCTCTGGCCTCTGACCACTCAATCCCCTGGCCCCGGCCTCAGCCTTCGGCCTCCCGACCCGCCCTCTGCAAGGCCCTTAGGCACGGCCCGGCACTCACCTGCTGGCAGCTGCTGACCCAGGAGGCCCGGAGGGCGCCCCAGTGCTCCGCACGCCCGGCCTTGCTCTCCAGGTGTCTCCGCAGCTGTGCCTCCAGCTCCTGGCTGACCTGCTCGAGGACATGCACCTGGGCCATGTACCCCACCAGGCAGCCCCCCAGGTCTTCAGCGGCATCGAAGTCCCTCCCCAGGCCTGGAGCAGGCGCTGTGGCCAGGCCTGAGCTCCGCAGCCCCTGCAGAAAGACACTGCTGATGCCCAGGGCTCGGCGGGTCACGCGGGCACCCAGGCCACCGGTGTACCCATTGGAGGCCACCCCTACATAGACCCTGGGTGCTCGGATGAGGCCACCCATGGCGCTGGTCCTGGAGGCCGGGGGACTATCCAGGGAGGAGGACGATGACCGTGTCCCCCTGAAGGACGCCCTGTGCCTCTGGACGGGCACGCTGGCACGGGTGGGCGCATCCACCACCACTCGCTTTGAGCTCATCGCCCTTCCGCCTCTCTGTGCCTTACGGGCTCAGAGTCCAGCGGCTCTTGGTGTGCAGCTCCGGCGTCCCGGTGGCCGGGTCACGGGCCTCTCTGGAAGCTCCGCCCCCGGGGCTGCTGTGTCTGCTGTTTTCCACGAGTTTCTATCGTTCACGGAGCTGAAAGAGAGCCGGCCGTCCAGGGCCGTGTGCAGAGGCCCTCGCACATTCTCTGTAGGGTCATGTGCCCGACCTCCCAGATTTTTCTGCTGGTGGTGGCGGAGGCTGGATCCCTGCAGGCTGTGGGGGTGGCTCATCTGGGGCTGTGTGTATTTCACTAAGTGAGGGCAAGGCAGGCATCCAGCAGCCCTATTTCACAGATGAGTAAACTGAGGCTCAGATCACAAGTGGCTGAACCAGGATTTAAACAATCCAGGGATTCCCAGGGCCAATTTCAGGGCTTTCTACAATCTTACAGGTGCCAGTGTGCGGCTGTGACTGTGCCCAAGGTCCCGCCAGGTAACACAGGATCGAAACAGACGTGAACCAGCCATGGCAGAGGCAGCCCCGGGATCTCAAGAGAAACAAACCAAGCCTGCTGCTTCCTTCAGCCCCCTCATCCTGGCAGCAGCTTCAAGTCCCTCCCTAGTTCCTTCCTGAGAAAACTGCAGCTCATCCTCTCTTGGCCACACAGCTTCACCTCTCAGGACCTTACTTCCCAGGCCCTGGCCGGAGCTCTGCCTCTCTAATGCACCCGGAAGGCTGCCCAGGGTGCCCGGGAGACTGCGATGACAACATCCTAACACAGGCGACGCTGACTGGGCTGCGAGGAGCTGCATGCTTGTGAATCCCAGGATGTATCGCTCCAGGCTAAAGGAAGGGCTCACACCAGAGGTTGCGTAGTATCCTCTGCACCAGCGGTTGTCAACCTGTGGGTCGCGACCCCTTTGGCGGTCAAACGACCCTTTCACAGGGGTCGCCTAAGACCATCCTGCATATCAGATATTTACATGATGATTCATAACAGTAGCAACATTACAGTTATGATATAGCCACAAAAATAATTTTATGGTTGGGTCACAACCTGAGGAACTGTATTTAAAGGGCCAGAAGGTTGAGAACCACTGCTCTACACAGAATCATAACCCTCGTGGCCAGGTTAACTTCGGCTTCCTCTGATATTTACAATGAAGCCCTGAGTCCGGGAAGCGGGGAGGGGAGGAAAGGATGTACCCTCATTCACAACGGTATCTCCCAGACCTGAGGAGGGATGATTCTCTTTTGGAGAAATCACAAACATGTTTTAAAGGATTTGTCTTACCAGATAATAAACTGCTAGTCCTATCAGCTCATCATTCTCACAAAACCCAATTTATGGCTAAAGTAGATGAAAAATAGAGCTGGATATTAGGTGGTGTGGGTATTAAAGGAAGACTTAAAAGTCATTTTAAAATGAAAAGGATACAAAATGTATTAGCAACTTGATCCTCTGGCTAATAAAATAAGTTTATTTATATATACATGGTAGCTGAATTCTGTTGATAAGGAAAAATAAGTCATACATCCACATATGTATATATAACATATGCATCTTCGATTACATATATTATATATAAAGTTTACAAACAGGTATCTTTCTATATACACACACACATTGATAGAGTAAGTGCAGTTGCTAACAGAAATCCCATGACAGGATAACATGGCAGACAGCAGCACACAGGGAAGGAATCTCAGGGCAACATTTAACCTGCTTCTGTGTGGGATGAAGAGTCTTTACAGAGAGACAACCACCGAACTCATGTCAGGTACGTCCATAGGACATGGAGAACACACGTTTCTGAAGGCCATCTTTTTCAAAGGAGAATGAAGAAAGAAAAGAGTCATGATAAGACCACAGCAACAACACAAACATATGAGTCAACATTTAGGTTTGATTTCCAATCTGACTATAAGAACATCTATATTCAAAATATATACTATCAAACTATTTTTCTTTTAGAGAAAGGAAGCGTCCCAGCATTAATCTCCCGTCCCAGCCACTACCTATGCGGGAGAGAATGCAGAAGCCCGCGTGTCTCCGAGGGTCTGCCACCCTCAGTGGGGGTGGGGGAGAGGAACGGGGGAGGGGAGATGGAAAATGAGAGCCGGGTGGCGAGTCCATGTGCTGACAGCCAATCGGGTGTCAGTGCCGCGGAGGATGGGATGGTTCTCCCAAGCGATGGCTTTGGCCATTTCGTTGCCGTCAGATCGCAGGGCGATTTAGAAGTTACAGCGTCGAGGCTTCTCACATAAGCGCCTCCTCGGGGGCACTAACCCAGGGCCTTCTGAGAAACGAAGCTGAACCCCTGAAAGCTGAGCCCCCGGCACGAGTGATGCTTGAAGAAGGGCCAGCACCCTCCAGCCCGGGCAGATCCCCATCGGCACCCTCTCCGGAGGAAGGCACAGCGTGGGACGCAGACGTGGGTGCTGCGGGGGAGGCAGGCGTGTGCCTCTCAGCGGGCAGCCTCTCCTCGCCAGGGAAAGGCAGGCCTGTGGTCAGCACGGCGGCAGGTCCCGTCATGCGGTGTGGGGGGCTGTGGCCTCAGGATTATGATGGACTTCGTGGGTCCCCGCCTGCTCAGAGGGGTGACTCGCAGTCAGTGGTGCCCTGTGAGGTGCCAGGAGCTCCTCCGTGGCTGCTGCTCGTCCGCTTCCTGCTTCAGTGATGACTCTGCTGTCCTCTCCCCCGGGTGCCTTCGCTGGTGTACACAGGAGGGGCGGCCGGGTCACATGGATTCAAGAGGGACCTGAGCTCTAAGACTCTCTCGGGGCCACGCACGTGACATTCCCTCGCTGCCCAGGGCTGCTGGGACCCGCGAGGGCTCAAGGACAGTTATTAAGAGAAGCAATCGGTGCACCTGCTTTGCTTAGAAAGACCTTTATTTTATAAAGCCACGGTCGTTCTGTAAAGTTTTTTTTTTTTAAACCACACTTATAAAAAAGATGTTGACAATTCTTAGGAAAGAAAAAGCTGAAAATGTTTCTCCTTAAGTCAGGGTTACACAAAGATTATATTTATAATATATATTTGTAGATTTATGATTTAGAGCCCCAAGGCAGGGCATGGCGAAGCGAGGGCGGCTGCAGTCAGATCTCGGATACCTGATCGTTCCCCACAAACAGGGTTTCTTGGCAGAAGGGGTTCACGAGGACCATTCCCGTGTCTCTGTAGTCGCCGTTGGCTGGGGAGCGCGGCTCGGAGAGCTGGTCCTGGGGAGACAGGGAGGAGATGGGTGAGCTGGGACGCCTCACCAGGTGGCCTTTCTTAAAGAAACGGACCCATGGGAATTGTGGGTAAACATTTTTCATCCTTTGCCCTGCCAGTGCTGAGGTGCAGAGCCCTCTCTGCTCTTTTGGATTTTTACAGCAGCTTCAAAAAAGATTTCCTGCTTCCTGAGTCACCTCCACCTCAGCTTTCTGAGATGGTATTGCTCTCCTTGTCAAAGTCTGAGCAAGCTCACCATGCTCCACACACACACACACACACACACACACACACACACACACACACCATATGGCAAACTGTGGTCCACTGGGGCCACAGACTCTTCTTCCTGCCTCTCCCTCACAGACCTCTGGGAGACCTTGCTGCTTTTCCTCCCTGACACACCCCACACTAGTCCACCTCTTTCCTGTCCTGCCACCCCCATGTCAGAGCCTCCAAGAGCTAGCTGCCCCCATCCCGAGTCCTCTCAGAGCCACGTCAGAATCCTGGCCCCACTTCTTCCAGAACTAGATGTGCGGATGTCAACAGGTCTGAATCTCTGTGGGAGTGAACTACTCAGTCTGTCTCCACAGCCCAGGAGTAGGAACAGGCCCTCCAGTGCTTGGGCATCTGAAGGGCTGTGGCCCCATGGCCTAGGGCTGCAAGCACTCATGGGCCACAGGATGGCACCGTCCAGGGCTGCAGGCACTCATGGGCCACGGGATGGCACCACCCAGGGCTGCAGGCACCTGTGGGCCACGGGATGGCACCACCCAGGGCTGCAGGCACCTGTGGGCCACGGGATGGCACCACCCAGGGCTGCAGGCACCTGTGGGCCACGGGATGGCACCACCCAGGCCTGCAGGCACCTGTGGGCCACGGGATGGCACCACCCAGGCCTGCAGGCACCTGTGGGCCACGGGATGGCACCACCCAGGCCTGCAGGCACCTGTGGGCCACGGGATGGCACCACCCAGGCCTGCAGGCACCTGTGGGCCACGGGATGGCACCACCCAGGCCTGCAGGCACCTGTGGGCCACAGGATGGCACCACCCAGGGCTGCAGGCACCTGTGGGCCACGGGATGGCACCGCCCAGGGCTGCAGGCACTCATGGGCCAGGGGATGGCACTGCCCAGGGCTGCGGGCACCCGTGGGCCACGGGATGGCTGTACTGACTCAGCCTGAGGAACTGGTTCGGGGGAAAGGCACCGCTTGTTCCAGTTCTAAACAGGTTGGAGCCTCAGGTCCTGCAGGCGGTTCCAGGGCAGAGGCTGAGCCGCAGGCCCAGGGCTGACAGGTCTAAGACGACCTGCCCTGCATGTCTTCTCTCTCAGAAGCCACAATGAAATCTCTGAAGTTTCTTTTTAAGTGAAACATATTTTGAGCAATATGTGCTGCTTTATGGAGAATAAAGAGATGAAGGAAGAGAAAGGCCATTTGTTGGTGAAATGTCTTCTCTGATGATAAGAATTTCCCTCAGTGTCCGGAATTAGCTGAGTGCCCACCTGAGGGTGGCACAAGCCTGCCTCTAAGTAAGGACAATGGGGGCAAGTCAGGGGCAGAGCCCTTCTCCGGGGCTTTCGGGCCGAGCTGCGGAGGGACCGTGGGCTGGACCCGGCTGGTCCTTTTAGTCTCACAAAGCAGGTGCCCACCCAGGAGACCAGAGACTCTTCTCTGGGTGAAAGGAGAAAAGTATCTAGGAAGCAACTAAGGTCAGAAAGAAGAAAGGAGGAGGAGGTGGGAAGGAAGAGGGAAAGGAACGCAAGCTTGGAAAAGTTTCCCAGCACCTTTTGGGCATCGCAATTTCGCCCGCATGGCCCAGGCCCGTGTTCTGCGGCTTTCATCCACCCTAAGAGGGGCAGGCACCTGCGAATGTGCTTGGGCAAAGCTCCTGGCAGCCTCCAAAGCCGGCAGCTAAGAGGCAGTGAGTACGAAGGTCAAGGGAGGACCCCAAACGTAACATGATGTGACTATGCAAGCATGCTTATAGAATCGAGTAGTATAAATACAGTTGTAACCGGACAAAAAAAAAAAAAAGAAGAAGAGAACTTGGCTATGCTGATCAACTGAACGCAGTCTCCATGTCCTTCATTCTTCGCTGACTCCGTCCACACCTTTGGGAACCCCTGGACCGATGGGGCAGGACCCTGGCAGACGTTGTTTCCTTGGGTTTCTCCAGTTTCCTTCCCAGGCTCATGACACAGCTTCCACCAGAGACAGGAAACACCCTGCAAGACGCAGGAGCCACAAGAAGGAAGGAAGGGGCCTCGTCCCGCGTAACTTCAGGGACCAGGGCTGCCCAGGACATGTGGTCTGTGGGGTGCATCTTCGGGGAGCTGCTGACACAGAAACCACTGTTCCCAGGGAAGTCGGAGATTGATCAGATCAACAAAGTGTTTAAGGACCTGGGGACGCCCAGTGAGAAGATCTGGCCCGGCTACAACCAGCTGCCCGCAGTGAAGAAGATGACCTTCACCGAGCACCCCTACAACAACCTGCGCAAGCGCTTTGGGGCACTGCTCTCTGACCAGGGCTTCGACCTCATGAACAAGTTCCTGACCTACTTTCCTGAGCGGAGGGTCAGCGCAGAGGACGGTCTCAAGCACGAGTATTTCCACGAGACCCCCCTCCCCATCGACCCCTCAATGTTCCCCACATGGCCTGCCAAGAGTGAACAGCAAAGGGTGAAGCGTGGCCTCAGCCCGAGACCCCCCAAGGGAGGCCTCGGCTACAGCCATCTGGGTGACGATAACCTGAAGGAGACTGGCTTCCACCTCACCACCACCAACCAGGGGGCCTCAGCCACAGGCCCTGGCTTCAGCCTCAAGTTCTGAGGTTTAGAGTGGACCCCAGAAACAGCGGGACCAGGGGCAGGAGCAGAGGCAGCCTGTGGTCAGACCCAGTCCTGCCCGGATGACAGGCTGCTGTGGCCAGGGCTGCGGTGACCTGGCCTCGAGTCGAACTGCTGGCCTCGTTTTCCACATTTAGTTTCTATTTTGTTTGGGCTTGTAAATTTGTAGAATTAAACCTTATTTCCTTATGGAAAAAAAATAAAAAAATAAACCCAGAACAAGAGATTAAATGGAAAAAAAAAATTAGGCGACCCATGATCATTGTGGGTGGTCTGCAGGGCACACGCATGCCCAGGGAGGCGGGACAAATGGTAGCATCGCTCTAGCTCAGGGTGGGGAACCTTTTTTCTGCCACGGGCCATTTGGATATATAACATTTGCGGGCCCTACAAAATCATCAACTGAAAACTCAGCCTGGCCCTGACCGGTTTGGCTCAGTGGATAGAGCGTCGGCCTGCGGACTGAAGGGTCCCAGGTTCGATTCTGGTCAAGGGCATGTACCTTGGTTGCGGGCACATCCCCAGTAGGGGGTGTTCAGGAGGCAGCTGATTGATGTTTGTTTCTTATCGATGTTTCTAACTCTATCCCTCTCCCTTCCTCTCTGTAAAAACTCAATAAAATATATTGAAAAAAAATCAGCCTGCGATATTTAATCAAACAATTAACTCACCCCTAACGCCTTGGCAAATGATTTCGAGGGTCTTGTAGGGCCCGTGGGTCGGGTGTTCCCCACCCCGCACTAAAGCCCAAAGAGAGGTGTAGACCCCCGGGAGGGATGCCGATACAGTCCACTCTGCAGCCAAACTGAGCTTCGTGTGCAACCCCGAGCTTTGTCGATCGGCAGCCTCCGCGTCAGAGCCTCTAGCTGTGCCCATGGCCTGTGCCCTGGGCCGGAAAGACTACCCGGCCTTCCCGTCGTATGCTCACAAGCGCTGCCCTTCACCTTTGGCTTTCATGGGCTGATTTTGCAAAGAGAATATGAGGAAGTTAGAGTTCAGGGGTTTGCAGTCCACACTCAAAGTGGGCCAGCCTCTGCCTTGTCCTAAAACCCGGTCACACAAAACTCAGAATTTCCAATGACCCTCTGCTGCCCACGACTAAAGTCCATTCAGGCCCACTCAAGACCATGCCCATCCACCTGCCAATCCTGCTGCACCTTGGCCTCTACCCACCTTCCCTTCAGAGTGGAAAGGGCACTGAGCCCAGCTCTCTAACCAGCCAGCCGGGTCGTTCTGGCCAAATGCTCCTCAGCTACACCCCACACCCTTCCCACCTGCCTCAGCCACGCTCCTTGCTGGGACACCTGCTAAGTCCTCTGAGCAGACTTCCTTGGGTGCCCACAGCTCTGTGATGCCTCTTGCATCTCCCCTAGTCTGCGTTGTTTCTGAATGATGCACGAGGCTCAGGCCCCAATCTGGGCCCCTGGGGAGCAAGCTCTCATCTCCACAGTCCCCGGGGAGTAACACGGGTGCTCTGTGAATATGTGTTGGCTTGTTCCCAGGACAGTGACTCCAAAACTTTAACACGTGCGTAAGGTGCCTGGGATTGTCGCTGAAGTGCAGACCCTGATCACAGGGCTGGGCGGCTGCAGCCTCCTGTGCTGCTGGCCCGGGGACCACGCTCTGAGGAGCAAGGCGCCTGGAAACGCGCAGATGCTCCCTCCATAGCTCTCTCGGGAGCCCGTGACTCTCCGGGCAGTGGGGCCAGCACCTCCAGGGGCACCCTTGGTCGGGGCTCCGTACCTCAGAGGTGGTGAGGGACTGGATCTCCCTGGGCAGCTCCACGGCGTGCTTGTTGAAGTAGTCCATGGTGATGGCGTTGTTCCAGTAGCTCAGGTTGTTCTCCGGGTTGGCCGCCTTCTTCTTCCTCCTCAGGCAGCACACTGTCAGCAAGACCGCTGTGGAGAGAGTCCAGGTTAGAGAGGGAGGGGGACAAGCACGGAGCAGCATTCCCGAGTGACAGAGGGCAGTCCCCAGGAGTGCGGTGATGGCCACCCAGTGAGCCACTGACCCCACTCATTAATTCATGTGTGCGCTCATTCAACAAATACCCACGTATGCTGAGTGCCTGTGCCAGGTGCTGGGGTGGAAGAAAGACAAGGATGCCCTGCTTTTGTAAGCTTCCCCTCTAGGTGTGTATGGAGGGTGCAGAGGGGTCAGACAATCTATGCATAATAAACAAGGAATGAATAAGGTGAATTCAGATAGTGACAACTGTTCAGAAAAATAAAACGGGTGAAGGGAGAGAGACAATGGAGGTGAGCTGGGGGAGAGAGTGCGTTAGAGTCATCACGGATGGTTTCCCTAGGAGGTGAACTAGAGCTAAAAATAGAATGGGGGGGTGCTAGCCACGTGCAGAACAGGGGGCAGTGTTTTAGGTAATGAAAACAGCATGTGCAAAGGGCCTGAGGTAGAGACAAGCTTGATGTGTGAGAAAAGACTGGCACGGCTGGAGTGGGGTGAGTGTGGAGGAGCGAGGCAGGAGATGAGACCAGAGCGTTGTGTCCATAGACTGTGAGGCAGGAGGCTGGGCTGTAACTTCAGTTATCTGTGGGCACTGCAGCGCCATGCCTGAGTCTGCTCCAAGAAAAGGCCACGCTCATTCAGTGGGAGGAGAGCTTGGCTGCAGAAAAGGCACGTGTGTTCTGAGTGGCTCTGCTGGACTGACGAGGGGAGGGGAGCAGAGAGAAGGGCAGAGCCAAACGAGCCCACAGGCGGCCAAGAGCAAACCCTGACACCTGGACTCCCATGTCTGTTCACTGTCCATGATTCTGCCTCACAAAGACACTCTGAAGGCGGAGGCAGCACATTCGGGCCTGGTGGGGCTCAACACAGCCTGACGTGCAACCTGTCTGTTCAACCTCTGAGACTTGGGGTCCCCAGGGAGGAATACATTTGGATGTTGCTGATAAACCAGGTGACAGAGTGACTTGGGCCAACAGGGAGGCCTCCGCGGTGGGAGAGCCGGGATGGCTGTCTAGGCTCGCACGTAGAACAGGTGATGCAATGCCAAGGGTGACAGGATCCCTCTTGGAGGGAAGCCCGTAAGTGAAGACCGGGCATCTCCTGCCCAGGCTCGCCATCGCCAGGGCCTGTAAGGTGGCTGAAGCTTCAAGCCAGGGGTGGGCAGGGTGCACCCAACAGCCTGGAGGTGCCAACCACCTGTGCTGGGGAGAGGGGGCCCCAAGCTGAGCTGGCCCAGAAGCTGGACCCATAGTGACAATGGCCACCAGGGGGCAGCAGAGGACCATCTCTGTCCACAGCAGCCAACTGGCCAGCACCAGGGAGCCTGTGTGTGCCAGGGTGTGGGGCAGCTGCAGAAGCTGGCACCCACACAGCTGCGACCTCAGGGCCCACACCCAGCCCTCTCAGATGCAGGAATTCTCCTGGAGGCAGGAATTCTGTAGCTCTCATCCCAGGTGCCATCTCAACCTGAGACCTCAGACAAGGTCAAGAGATCAGGCAAGTCTCCATGCCTTCCAATCTGCTTTGATCAGGAAGACTTTAATTTGCTCACCATTCTTCTGGGTCCCCTTAAAAGGTTTTAAAATAGGAAGGAAATGTCTGAATGTTTGAGCTATAAGAAATTTTAGTCTGGCTGGTATAGACTTAACATTTGTGCATTTCCTCCTCCTTCCCGCCCTTCCTTCTGAAGAGTCCTTTCAACTGGTTGAAGGGAATGGGGGGGGAGGGGGCGGTGAAGCTGCAGAATGCAGCCTGAAAATCTGCTAACTTAGGGCACCGCCTTACTCCACAGACGAGAAGGCCATGGCCAGAGCACCTGGCGGGCTGGCCACAGGTCACAGGTGTGAGTGGCAGGGCCAGGGCCAGTCTCCATTCTTCACTGTCCCTGCTTTCCACTTGCTCCTGGGACTGAGTGTGCGAGAACCTGGGGGAGTCAAACTGGTGGCAGCTGCAGAGGGTAGAGAAGGGCGAGGCTGCCATGGAGCCAGGCTGTGCACCTGGGCCGGCACAGGTTGCAGAATTAGGTCCCTACCCCTCCCGCCCTAAGTCCTGTGCGAAGGCTGGCCCTGGTAGGGTGGCCTGAGACAGGGACTTCTGTTCTCACCTCTCTCTCCTTCATGTGTTGTGAGTGCTCCTGTCCTGACTGCATCTCTCTCAGCAGCTCCCAGGGCCGCTCAGGTGCACTTCCCTGCCACATGGGAGCCGGCCTGGCGACAGAGCCGGGGCTTGGAGTCCAAAGACCTGCGTTCAAGCCTGGCTCTGCCACGTGTTAGACTAGGCAAGGCACTTCACCACGCTGATCAGCAGGGGCCTCACAGGTTTGTAAGGAAAGTTAGAGACCAGGAACGCAAATGCCTACACGCTGCCTGACACACAACAGGTGCGTGATTAAGTCTCCTCGTTCTCCCAGCATCCTCCACACAGAGACCCAGGAAGAACACTGGGCTGCATGACTCAAGGCCACGGGCGGCTTAGAACTCTCGTTATTTCAGCGACTGACTGTTCATCCAGGAAAGGAAAGTACAGCTCAGACGCGTGGCATCTCTGATGTGTCCCCAGCGCTGACCTAGGTGCCTTATCGCCCAGTTTAACCCACGAAACGGCTGTGGAGGAAGCTGCTGTTACCCACCCCCCC